GTGTGTGGGGATGCCATTTAGCATGCAGATGAGATTATAATGAAGTTAGAGGTTGTCTGGAGGTCCTTCTGACAGCCATCCTAGGTCCAGCTCCGCAGAGATAAGGGTAGGGTAGAAATGCAGCTAGATCACCTAGGCAGTACAAGATTAGAGCTGGATAGCACGACCACTGAGAGGCCCTTTGGGCTGCAGGAATGCTTCTGTTGCTAGCTGGGAAGTCATTCCTAGTGGGAAATAGAATACTTTAAAATCAGCATATGGCTGGTGAACCTATTATAAGGATAAAAGGATTTGAACAGTCTTCTGCTTTCCCAGGACTGTTCTGGGGTATGGTGCAGCGCAGGGAATGTGATATTTTCTGTATTTCAGATCTTTTTCTGGCATCTGTTGGGAAAACGTATAATGGCAGCAGCACCCCAGAGAAAAACCCTAACATGGCGCCTAACGACCCTCTTTCTCCTCTTTTTTTTCTTTCACTGGCGCAAAACGTTCCTGCCGGCGCCAATGTTCAAATCCTGCGGGTGGGAAACCTTAGCCCCAATAAGAATTAACTTCTTGAGCTCCGGAACTGACATATGGAAGAGCTTGCCAATAAACGGGCGACCCGTTATCTACCTCAGCCCTGCTACCTCTCCTTAGGTCTATATAAACCTACAGCCTTTTGTAATAAAGTGGAACCTCTTCAGTGATCTGTGTCCTATGGTGTCTCCCATTCGTAGTGCCGTGCCGTGCGGCGTCTTCCAGTCTTACAGCATCCTTTGTCAAAACATCCTTGCTTTGCTTTTAAAAAATATTTCTTCCATGTTGATGTTGTTCTTCTTGGAAGGCGGTCATGTCTTCTCAGGTGCAGCCCAAGAAGGTAGGCCCCTGACTCTAGCTTACTCTTTTGGGGGTTTTATGGATCCTCATGGCTTTTCATAGGGTTTATTTCTGCATGGCTATTGCACTGGGGAGTAGCCACATGTGGGAAGGGAGGGCCCAGGAGGGAGCCTCAGCTTTTGCTTGAGTTATATCTAGCTCTGGGTGGCAGAGGAGTCAGGGGCCTGGAGCCTTGGTGGGTCTTGCTGCCACAAGCCCCCAGGAAGATAGCTCATCTGAGGGGTGAAAAAATTTACCAGCAAAACTTGGCCTAGTAGCAAAGAAATTTGTTCCTTGTCTTTGCCTGTCTTGTTCCAGTCCCTGTGGACAAAGTTCTGAGTCCTATGCACAGGATGCTGTGGTTTTAACATGGAAAGGCTTTTACC